CAGCTAATTTTTTGTATTTTTAGTAGAGACGGAGTTTCACCATTTTGACCAGGATGGTCTTGATCTCTTGACCTCGTGATCCACCCGCCTCGGCCTCCCAAAGTGCTGGGATTACAGGCGTGAGCCACCGCGCCCGGCCTGACTATTTATCTTTACCTACATCTATACCTACCAAGCTGTGTAAATAAAAATAGTTCCTGAATAACAGTATCTGTATTAACAAATTTAGTAAAAACAGTGTAAGATTATTGGTGTTTCTTTTTATTCTTAAGCTCTTTCCCACTTGGAAGTATAGTGAAATTACTGTGTTATAAACACATGACAGAATTCTAGAGTGTTTAAGTCACTATTTTGATACACAGGTTTGTTTCATTTTAGTTATTTTTTAAGGATCACCTTTCCCCCCTCCCCCCTCCATTTTTCCCCAATTTTAAACTTTGTTTTATAATTATGTAATTTAGTTACAGGTCAAAACAAAGTATTTTTGGAGAAATCTAGCTTCTACCTCTCCCTCTTCCAAGCTGTTTCTCTTTTATTGATAACCATTTTATTTTATGGTTTATTCCTCCATTTTAAATAAGTTATAAGCAAATATATAAATGATAGCTTTGTACTCTATACAGATGATTCTGCCTTGTTTTTAACTTAACGTTATATCCTGAAGATCACTGTATATAATTTTTTGCTCTTTATCTTCATAGTACTCCATTACATGGGCTTCAACATCCAATTACGGATGTGCTATAATTTATTGACCTAATCACTCTACAGTAACTATAGACATAAAGGCATCTTCGATATTTTGAAATTAGTAAAAACAATGTTGCTATCTTTTCACAGTTCTGCCAGTATATCTCTAAGATTTTTCTTTTTCTTTTTTTTTTCTTGAAATAGGGTCTTGCTCTGTCACCCAGGCTGGAGTACAGTGGTGTGATCACGGTGCACTACAGCCTCAAACTTCTGGGCTCAAGCAATCCTCCCGCCTAAGCCTCCTGAGCAGCTGGGACTACAGGTGTACACTACTTCACCTGGATAATTTTTTGTATTTTTTGTAGAGATGGAGTCTCACTACGTTACCTAGGCTGGTCTCAAACTCTTAACCGCAAGTGGTTCTTCCACTTCAGACTCCCAAAAGGTTGGGATTTACAAATGTGAGCCACTGGCCCTAAGATAATTTTCTTGAAGTAGGAATGTCAAGTCAAGGGGTAAACTCATAGGTAATTTTCCTTGATATTGCTGAATTCCCTTCCATGAAGTTGTTTCATTTTGGATTTCTACAAGTAATATATGAGAGTTTCTGTTTCTCTACAGCCCAATCAATAGAAAACGTTGCCAAACTTCTGGATTTTTGTCAATGCGATAAGTGAGAAATAGTATCTCAATGTAGTTTTAATTTGAATTTCTCTGACTATGAATTAGATTGAATATATTTTTATATGTTCAAGGACCATTTGCATTTTTTTCTCCTATCTTTAGCCCAATAAAGATAAAGTTGTTGGTCTTCTCTCTTTTAAGAGCCTTTATTAGGGATAACAAAAGTTGCAATTTTTTTTTTCTGATTTGTCTTTTACTTTGCTCAGCTTTTTCTCCCTCCAAAATTTTTCTTTTAATTTATGTAATTATATTTATCAATCTTTTCCCTTATTGCTTTTAGATTTTGAGTCACAGGAAATATTTTTCCCATTTCCAGGACGTAAAGGAACCACTCATGTTTTCTTCTTATTTATATGGATTCACTTCTTTGATTCATTTGAAATTTATCTTGATGTATGAAGAATGAAGTAATTTTTGACTTTTTTTAAATTTCATTTTTATTTTTGAGATAGGACCTATGTCACCCAGGTTGTGGTGCAGTGGTGCAATCCCAGTTCACTGTAACCTCAAGCTCCTGAGTTCAAGCAATCCTTTCATGTCAGCCTCCTGAGTAACTAGGAATGCAGGTATATGCCACCACGTCCAGATATTTTTTGAATTTTTTGTAGAGATGGAGTTTTGCTATGTTGCCCAGGCTGGTCTCAAACTCTTGGCCTCAACTGATCCTCCTGCCTTTGCCTCGCAAAGCCAAAATTATAGGTGTAATGCACCATTTCTGGCCTTACTTTTATCTTATACTAACATTTGAGTAAGGCTCACTTTGTTGGTTTTACAGTCTATGCACATGTATTTATTCCTCCATTCAGTCAAGGAAAAAAATATTATGTGTCATGCTAATGGTAGGAATTTTCATTTTGGAAAACAAAAAGTTCCATTTTTACAGAATAAAAATCATACTGTGACCTTCTGTACTATTATTTTGAAAGGCTTTCTGCATTTTTGCAAATATTGGCATAAACCACATCCTCTTTCTAGTGGTGCCAGGGAACATAAAATTAAGCCAAAGATCACCAACTCCTGGATTAGACAAAGCCACTTATTAATTAAAATTAATGTTAAAAAGCATAAATTAAGACTAAATAGGAGTCATAGAATAGGGTAAATGCTCGATATCTTTTTAATTAAAATTCAGTGTGATTCTGTGACTAATTCTTGTCGCTGGGGAAAAATAAGAATCCCTAAGTTTGTGAAGTTCAATCCTGAAAATGCATTAGGAATATCACCTATCAATAGTAATGTCATCAATTTTTAACTTAATTCTTTCTCATGCTGACATTCTGTGATAAATATATACTGGTATTTTCATGAAAAAACTAACTGGCCAAATCACTAGGAAATTAGAACTTAACACCAGGTAGAAACGAATACCAAAAGGAAAATGTACAATACTGCAACTAATTTAAGTTAGACATTATTTTAATTCTCATCTGCTGTGTGCCAAGTTCTAAAGAAATTTTCAAAAAGAATAAAAATTTCTAGATGAGAAAAGTAGAGGAGATTGTAAACGTCAGGTCTCCAGGACAATAATGTCTCATTCTTTCACTTTAATGACTTAAGCACATAAGGATTCATTATTCAATGAATGGCTTCTGCTCTTATCTATAATAAAATGAGGAAAGGAATAGATGACAACATCAATGGATAACCTATAGTCTCATTTTGGATACTGGATCTATCCTTCACCTTAAGCAAACCTACTAAACTATATCACACGAACAAAAACGTCTGAATTCTGGCATTTTAAATCTCCCTCTCTTTCAGGTAGTGAAGTTTATGAGCTGGGAAATAATCAGAACGTAGCAGGATGAGAGATAGCTCTTAGATGACATACTGGCTATCGAAAAATTTCATTTTAGACATGAAGTTATACCTCGGAGTTTGTGACCTAAACAAAGTTAGCTGGGTTTAGGTTTTCTGACTCTGAGTCCAGTGCCCTGTCCAATATACCATTCTACAAGTCAGGTCAGATAAGAAAAATGTACAGCTGGAACATTATTACGTTGTTGAATATAAACAAAATTCCACTGAAATAAAATTCTGTAAACAAAATTCTGTAAGTGATTCTGTAAAAATCAGTTACAAGTAGATGACAAAGATAATTCTGCTATAAGATCTATGCTAAGTATGCCAAAATTTCACATTCATAATTAATTTATACCATTTCAGATGGGAAAATTGAAGCTAAGGTCAAATTCAGGTTAAAAAAAATCACTGAGTACCAGGTACTGGTGCTAGAATGAGAGCATAAATTACTAAATCAAAGTCAAAAGTGAGTATTTTTAACTTCTGGGACAACGCTTACTCAGACCACACTCATTATTAAAGAAAGTTGAATCTCAGTAGTCTCCTATACACAATTATTCAATATTTTTGATGAAAAGAAGATTTCTAAGAGTTTTTCCAAAATATAATACAAAGATCTGAATTCAAAAAATATTTATTCTAACATTTCTTAAATTATTGGGGACAATATTATAAGTAAAATAAATTGATAGATGCTAACTCCAGCTTTATGAATTCTCAATGCTAAGATCACCTTATTTCAATAATACAGCACTTATAATATTCCAAAGTACTTTTAGAGATAGAACCTAGATACCAAATTTCTTGTTTGACATGAAAACTGTCCCAATCTATCCAAAGTTGATATCTTCCCTAAGCTTGGGAGATTTCTCATAGAAAAAGGTGACATATACCTTTCCATAACAGCCAGGCACTCCTTTCTCCAGGTAAATCGACTCCCTCGTCGTAGTCGGAAAGTACCAGATGTGGCAGAGACTGGGGGAGGTGTTTGTCTCCATTCAGGGTCCTCTATTGGAATGGGGGCTGGTCTCATACTTAGTGTAGCCCCTGAAATAAACAAGACGTTTTTAGCAAATATCTTGCAGTTTCTTTAAACCATTATGACATCTACCTCTTTACGGGAATGGGGAAGTACAGTCTTTGGCTTAGTGTCAACTTTTTGTATCTTTCTCTGAAAAATTTCTTTTGAAATTCCTGCTTTATAGCTATACTCTTTTTGAACAATATACCTTAGATGTTCAGAATCTTTCATTACCATTCACACAAATTATGAGCTCTTAAGGAATTTGTGCAGGTAGAAAATAACCCTAATTCTTGTAAACTTTTTTTTTTTTTTCAAAGGAGTGAAATACAGCATGAAAGAAAGTAAGATGATATTTGATGTGCTTTTTGTCTAACTAATTCAGGTGTCTTTAAGTTTACCTGTTGATGCTATACTAGATTCTGTTACCTCTTGAACATAATAAAATATCAATGAGAAACACCTATAATTAAGACATTTTACTAATTCAGATTACTCCTTTCTCAAATAGCTTGAACTGCCAATGATGCATTTATTCATTCATACACCATTTATCAAATCCCTTTCAAGTGCCTTGCTCTGGGGTAGAAACTAAGAATAAAACCGGGAAAGCAACATTGTCTCTGCCCTCCATGAACTTATTTCATACTTTCAATGTAACTTGGTATGCTTTCAAAGAGTTCAGTCCCTGGCTCCCCAACTCTTCTTTCACTTCTTACACTGTTAAATTCATCTTCCTAAAGCATAAGTATGATCATATCGGCCTCTGATCAAAACCCTTCAAAAAATTCTCTCTGCCTGTGGTTTAAACTCTTAATACAGCTCTAGAAAGATATGTTAGAATGTGTAGGGTTTATGCAAATATTAATAAATATATTAATTCTATTAATGAATACTAATATATATTTATTTCTTCCTTATAGGATTAATACTCTCTTTATTGTAACTTGCAAATAATACCATGGATAGTATTTCTACTTCAAGACTTACAGATCTATTGTAGATACCCTTCTTAATAGCTACATCTTTTGATGTATTCTCTTCCACAGATGTCCAATTTGTTAATCAATCCTGATGTTCCTTTTCAAACCTACTGTCCTGCAGTCTTTCCCAGCTCAGTAACTAAACAGCCACTCTTCAAACTGCTCAGCTCAAAATTCTCAAATTAATCTTTCACTTCTCTAATTCCCCCATATATTACATAACCAATTCATAGGCAAGTTCATCTTCAAAATATTTCCAGTATCAGACCAATTTTATTCCTTGTACTGCTACTACTTTTAGGACACTTCAGCATCATCTCATAATCATGGCTTCCTGGGACAAGTTTCAAAGATGACTCTTCACAGTAAGTCACACCTCTGGCTAATCATGCCCTTGAATCTGAGCTAGTCATGATGACAGACAGGTTTTCAGCCAGAAAACCTAAACAATTCAAAGCTATGTTATCAGATGATTTGAAATTTCTGCTTAGGTCTCCTAAAATGCTTGCGCTGGGGGACACCAGTGGCTATATAAGAAGTCTGACTAACCTGAGACTATGATGTTGTAAGGAAGCCCAAGCTAGCCAGGTGGAGAGGCTACATGGAGTGAAAGATGCTCTGATAGTCCCCAGGGGCTTGTGCCAACTCCACCCAGGTGCCAGCATTTGAGAGAAAAAGCCATCTTGGACACTGCAGCCACAACAGACACCACATGGAGAAGTGTAGAAACCACTTGATAGAAACCAGGCCTCAGACATTCAGTCCCAGCACAGCCATGTGAATGTCAACCTCCAAGGTCCCTAAGGATCCCTGCCTCCTGGTCTGTACACCTTTGTTTAGTCCCTTCCCACACGGCACCATGATTAGGCTGTACAACCAACAGCATGTAGCAGTGATGGTACGTCACTCCCAGGATCAGACTACAGAAGCCGCCGTGGCATCTGTCTTGGATGCTTTCTCTCTTACTCACTCAAGGGAAAACTAGGTGCCATGTGTGAGGACACTCAGGCAGTGGATGGCGAGGCCCATGTTGTAAGGAACTGCTGTCTCTGACCAACAGGCAGTGAGGACCTGGGACCTGTCAATATCCATGTGAATGAGCTTCCAAGTAGACCATCCAGTCCCAATGACTGCAGCCAAGGCTGACGGCTGGGCTGCAACCTTTACAGAACTCTGAGCTGGAACCAACCAGCTAAGCCACTCCTGGATTCCTGATCTATGAAAACTATGAGATAATAAATGCTGGTTGTGTTAAGCTGTTAAATTGTGGGTAGTTTGTAGTATAAAAATAGATAACTAATAAAAATAATCACATCATCCCCCTTGTTTATTTCCCTTTATCCCCCAATGCACTGAGTATTAATTATTCAAATGTACAAATTTGGCAGCAAAAAATTTCCCTTTAATATAGAGACTTCACTACTAATAAGAATGAGGATCTTTTCCTGTTTATTGACCATTTATAACTTTTCTTGTGAATTCCTCTTGTTCCTTTTTTTTTGGGGGGGGGTGTTGGTACATAGAAATCTTATCAATTGCTAGTCATACAGAATGCAATTTTTTTTTCTGGTCTGTCATTTGTGTTTTATGGTGTGCTTTGTGATCTTAATTTTTATACAGTCAAATTTGTCAGTCTTCTGTATTATGGCCAATGGGCCTAAATATCACTCAGAGTATTTTTACATTTTTCATTTTGTGTTTGAGCCCTTAATATGTATGTGATTTTCTAAAGTATGTGATGGAAAGTAAATATTTATTTAACAGTTCTGCTCAAACAAGTAAGTTTGTCATCGTGTAATGCTTTAGAGATTTAAAGCTCACCCTAAAACAGAGTTGGCAAATTATGCCCGCTACCTATTTTTGTAAATAAAGTTTTACTGAAACATGGTTAAGCTCATTCATTTGCAGATTGTCTATGGCTATGAATGCACTGGAGCGGAAGAGTTGAATAGCTACGATAGAGATCATATAGCCTGCAAAACCTGTAATATTTATTGTCTGGCCCTTTATATGAAGAGTTTGCTGACCCCTGGTTTAAAAACATTTCTGTTCTACCCAACATGAAACTCTAAACTGAAACCCTTCTTTAAACAATTTAAAAGGGTTTCATTCTGCCAAAATAAGCTGGGAATTCAGTCTGGGCCTAACTCAAAGTTAACAAAGTTTAGACATAAGCAGGAATTTGGGGGCTGGAGGGTTTCAATGCTGTTTAGTGCTTTTCTGAAAACAAACAGGGATTATAGCACAGCGAGAGCTCTGGATTCTACCTAATTAAAATTACATAAATTTTATTCTACAGCAAGGGTGAAAAGGACTAAACAGAGCCAACCAGTTATCATGGCTGATCAGGACAGAAGTAGAAATAGACGGGCTAAGGGAATATAACCTCTTGTCCAAGGGATGACCCTGGTAAAGAAAGAGTTTCAGGGTGGAGGGGGGCAACAGGTCAGTGAATTCCAAGTAGTGGGCCACATCCGTAACTGTGGTCCTCAGTAGGCAGAGTGATAAATGGGTACCAATAGAATAGAGGACAGAAAGAATCTTAACCAAGAGGTTGAAGGAAATAAGCCAACTAATAATAATGGTTCTTTCTTGGTATCGGGGTTTATTAATAATACTATGCTCCTTTATAATATTCTGTATTGTCAAGATAGTCTCAAGAACTGAAGAAATTCAGATGAAACGAACCTGGGCAGGAAGGAAAAGGAAGAGGCTAGAGGAAAAACGGAGAAAAAGGAGAGAAAAGTAAGCAGTAACCTGGTTATTCTGAAAGAAATCAAGACACTTTATGCACAGAAGGTGAAAACTGAATAATCTTAAACTCACCAAAATACTTAATTTAGAACATAATATTACCACATTACTTTTCAGTTTTTTTTTTTCTGGCTCCTTTTTCAATGTAGTGGTAGTTAAAAAAACAGCACAAAAAGCATTCTGGAAGTTATTAACAAATAAATTTGTTCCGGAAAACTTGGTTCATCTTGCTTTGGTTGAAATGGATGAAAAGCAATGAAAAAATCCAAGAATGAGCTCAAAATTATTGACTCTAACAGAAAAACACAAAGTTACTAGAATGCAGGAACAATGTATATAAGCCTTTAAACTCCTCTGAAGTAAAATACAGGAGTTCTGGGTTGGCTAAGGTCCTAACAGGAAAAGTGTGTTATCTATTTCTTTATAGAAATGTTTATTCACCCCCGTCTAAGTTTCCATTAAAACAAAATTTTGCACCTTCACCTAGTAAATCTAAACCCGTGAGGAAAACAAAACCTTTTCATAATTTGGTAAGAGATGTAAAAATTTTGGTAAGTAGCCGGGCGCGGTGGCTCAAGCCTGTAATCCCAGCACTTGGGGAGGCCGAGGCAGGTGGATCACGAGGTCAAGAGATCGAGACCATCCTGGTCAACATGGTGAAACCCTGTCTCTACTAAAAATACAAAAAATTAGCTGGGCATGGTGGCAGGTGCCTGTAATCCCAGCTACTCAGGAGGCTGAGGCAGGAGAATTGCCTGAACCCAGGAGACGGAGGTTGCGGTGAGCCGAGATTGCGCCACTGCACTCCAGCCTGGGTAACAAGAGTGAGACTCCGTCTCAAAAAAAAAAAAAAAAAAAAAAATTTTGGTAAGTGTGCTCTATACATATATGATAATGTTCTTGCTGATCAGGGTTAGCTCTGGGTGAGCGACTATACAAGCTCATCATATCTACGTCATCCACAGGAACTAGCCTCTCCAAAAGTAATGTCATATCTCCCCTCATGTCACACACTTTCCCTGATATCTCACAATCTGCAAATAAAGGACTGCGCATTTCTTCTGATGACTCTTATCTCATGTATTTGCTGCATAAGCATCTTGGCAAATTTTATTTGTTTAATTTAGAAGCATACAGAATCTGCGCCACATGCCAAGAGGAACTCAGCAAACCCGGTCTGCTATAGTGACGTTTAAATTAGACAAGGGAAAAAGACTGTGAACTTAATTTGATTAAATAAAGGGACTTTTGATGTCAACTATGTTGAATTTAGTACTTGCTTCTTTTTTAAAAAAATAGGTATTTTCTTGTGTTTTCATAAGAAACAAGATAAAATGTATTTGATTAGTTTCCATCAGGCTGTTTTATTAATATGCCTTGGCAGGCTTTCGGTTATGCTGGGAAATTCTGATGATGAGTCTGTTATCAGAGAACTGCATGATATCAATTGGGTTATCAGTAAAATTAACCTGAATATCCATTCTATTATTTTTCTTGCTGAGTCCACTTAAAGAGAAACTTAAAAAAAACAAAAGCCATATCCAACTGGATCCAGACTGAAGAGGCTGAAAAAAAGAACTTCACTCAAAGTATACAAAGAAAATGCTCTAAGGCCCAGGAATAGAATCATGGAATATACAAACATATTTGTTTTCTAAATGCTTAAGTTTACAGAAGAAACAAGAAAAAATAGTTTTTCATTTTGTGACTTTTCTTAATTTTGCATTTTCTTCTCAGAATATATGTAAAGGGATGACACTATTTACATTTCCCCTAATGAGCTATCTTTCCTAGACAGAAAAAAATTAACGAAATGAAACAATTACTTGATAAAAATCACTGACAACTTATTTCCTAGCTGCTTCTCAAAAGCAGGTCTGGACCATGTAAGCCTGTCTTTCTTTTCTTCTTGCTTTCTTTCTTTTCCTCTTTTCTTTTCTTTCTTTTTTTCTTCTTCTTTTGTTCTTTCTTTCTTTTCTTTCCTTTTCTTTTTAATCTTACAAGGCAGATTGATTTCTTTTGGTCTTGCTCTCCCTCCTTCCTATTACACTTTAGTTTTCAAATATATAATACAAGCACATAGTATAAAATTTAGAAGGATACATTAGGGGCTGGACACTGATTCACGCCTGTAATCCCAGCACTTTGGGAGGCCAAGGTGAGAGGATCACCAAGTCAAGAAATCGAGACCATCCTGGCCAACACATGGTGAAACCCCTAAAAATATAAAAATTAGCTGGGCATGGTGGCACACACCTGTAATCCTAGCTACTCAGAAGGCTGAGGCAGGAGAATGGTATGAAACCCAGGAGGTGGAGGTTGCAGTGAGCTGAGATTGCGCCACTGCACCCCAGCCTGGGCGACAGAGCAAGACTCTGTATCGGCGGGGGGGAGGCGGGGGTAGATACATTAGGTTGTTTAGTTAAGTCCTTACCCCTGTACTCCCAGTCACTCAGTTCCCCTTCACAGAGCTGTTCTTCCCAGTTCCTAAACAGCTTTTCAGTCATCTTCTATGCTTATGTAAGCACATACATCTGTATGTGTGTGTGTGTTCCCCCATGGAAATATGCCCTCGATACTGTTATGTCCCTTTTCTACTTATGAATTCCATGTCACCTCATATACATTTAATTCACATAAAGCTGCCTTCAAAAAATAGCTACAAAACTCCAAAAGACTCCATTGTACAGATGTGACATTAATTTGTTTAACCAGTTCTCAACTGAGGGACATCTGAGTGGATTCTAATCAGCTCTGAAATGACTTGCAAAGGAGGATCTGATGTCTTATAAGCTAACATAATTTTAGTTCATCTTATCCAAACATAACAGTGGCTCCAAAGTGTCAATGGAGTAAGAAATGATACCATCCTTTAGCTAAAATCGAAGGTTATTTTACAGTCAACAAAATAAAATCACATTTATCTAGAAAGAATTCTATGCCATATTAGCCTTTATAATAAAGGTGAAAATGCAAAGAAAAAGATAAACAGATTTCAATTGCTAATACCCAACTGCTGTTAATGCAAAAACTACCAACTGGCAATTATGAACTTGCCCTCTCAACTCCAGCTACCTTTAAATTATGTCCCATAGAAAAACCTGACTGAGAAAACCAGTAGATAGGATTTGATTAAAAAAAAAAAAATAGAAACTACTTTAAAAAGGTGGCAATAATGCAACCTCACTAAAAAACAAATGCATATAATTAGAGGAACGTCTTAAAAGGAGGCACTATATCTTTAAAGAAATCAGCTCCTAATGATCAGCTGGATGAATGCTGTTAGTTCCAATTCCCTTCTTCTACCTTTCTCCAATTTCCTGATAATGAGTGGGCCCAACTCTGATTTCTAGATAAACTAAAATAGGTAATAAGACTAAATGCTAAAATAAATAACAATAATTAAAAAAAAAAAAAAACCCAGCTTCAGAAGAACACTACCCGCCTAGTGCTAAAGTTGGACCCCTGTCCGATGAGCTGCAACAAAGGTGCTGCAGCCAGAGAGCTGCATCTTAGTCGTCCTTCCTGTTTCTAGTTCAGAGCCGGATCCGAGCCGAGCATTGAAACGCCAGCGTGGGAATTTGCCATTACCAGCTGATTATCTGCTTATGCAATCCCAATTAGAATAACTGATTCAGATCAGGTGCGGTGGCTCACACCTGTAATCCCAGCACTTTGGGAGGCTGAGCCGTGCGGATCACGAGGTCAAGAGATTGAGACCATCCATGCCAAAATAGGGAAATCCCATCTCTACTAAAAATACAAAGATTAGCCAAGCGTGGTGTCGTGCACTTGTAGTCCCAGCTACTCTGGAGGCTGAGGAGTAAGAATCACTTGAATCGGGAGGCGGAGGTTGCAGTGAGCCAAGATTGTGCCACTGCATTCCAGCCTGGAGACAGAGCAAGACTGTGTCTCAGAAAAAACAAAAAAGAATAACTGATTCAGTCAAGGATCATCAATGAATGCTAAGGCAATTGACAAAAGCTGTTGCAGGAAAAGATATTCATCGAGTGGCAAAATGTCACCCTAAAGATTATTCACAAATGGGAAAGAAAAGATCTGGTGGTCACCATTTGAACAAAATCATCAAACTTAGCATATGAATAGTGCTACAACATCCTAATGCTGACAGGCCTCCTCATACGTGGCAATATTAGGTAAACATTACCTACAAAGTATTTTTCTCCAGTATTTTATTGCAAAAAATTTTAAACACGTAATAGTGAAAGAATTTAAGTGAAAACCATACTTATATCACATATTTTATTATATGTACTTTAACACATACCTGTCCATTTCCCTATATGTCAAGCCATTTTACTTTTTGATGCATTTCAAAGTAAACTGCTGCCATTACAATGTGACTCCCTAAATAATTTATTAAGTTTTCTTGCCTAACATATTCAACCTGAATCCTGACTTCAGCTTAATTCTAACTTCCAGTTTACAGAAACATAAGGATATAGAAATAAGATATTTGATAATAAAAATAAATAGAAAAATCTAGCATGTGAGACATTCTGTTAAATTACAATGGTTTAAGAAGTTCACATCACCAAAAAAAAAAAGCTACAAAAGACATTCTTCCAACAGCTAGAGAAATGTGACTACAGACCGGACATAAAATGATAATATGGAATTATTATTGATTTTCTTAGGTATAATAATCGGGACTGGAAATACAGATTATTTTTAGGAGATGAATGCTGAATACACACAAATAGACATATAAATCTTTATTTCTTTTATAGGAATAAAGCAAATATAAAATGTTAATTTTTTTTTTGAGATAGGGTCTCCCTCTGTCACCCAGGCTGGAGTGCAGTGGCACCATTTCCACTCCTGAGTTCAAGCTCAGCCTCCCAAGTAGCTGGAGCCTCAGGCATGTGCCACCACACCTGGCTAATTTTTGTATTTTTAGTAGAGACGGCGGTTTCGCCATGTTGGCCAGGCTGGTCTCGAACTCCTGACCTCAAGTGATCTGCCTGCCTCAGCCTCTCAAACTGCTGGGATTACAGGCATGAGCCACCACACCTGGCCAAATGTTAATAATTATTATATCTAAGAAAGAGTAAACATGTGTCTACTGTTTAGTCTTTTGTATTTTCTATACATCTGAAACATTTCAAAATAAAAATTGGGGATTAGAATAGATTTTTGATATTATTGTAGAGGTTGATATGGTCTCTTCTGTTTCATCCTGCCTGGATCATTCGGAATGAGAAAGTGATCTTTGGGGAAAAAATCTTCTCACATACCTACACACAAAAATAAATCTCTGTAACATTCTTTATTTCTACCTCAGAGCCAGTGCTATTATCATGCAATATTTCAACTAGCGATTTAGTCTTTTGCAAAGGCTTTAAAGCTGCAGCATTACAGAACACAACATAATCTTAATTTTATACTTGAGAGCAGGCTCACTGCCACTTGCCTGTGTAAAGTATAGGCTGAGATAGTACCACAACTTCATATTTTACTTTTTAAAATCACCTGTTAAAAGTATCTTGAATAGATCTTGCCTACTTCTTCCAACTTTAGACATAAAAGTTTTTGTCATCTTAGTTTTCCTTAAGATTTCATTCTGCGTTCCAATCTACTGCTGCTCCTGAGAGTTATCAGGACAGCTGCATCCTAAAGTCCAAAGCCACATCCATTACCCAATTCATTAGAATTAGAAAAAAAAAATCATTAGCAGAGATCACTGGATATGGTATAGTGTGAACTAAATAACAATATCAAGTTTACATTACTAATTCAAACAAGATTTGCAAAAAAAAAAAAAAAAAAAAAAAAAAAAAAAAAAAAAAAAAAAAAACCCAAAAAGATATGGAATTTTATGTAGTTACGTAGCTGAAGAAAACAAAATCAGCCACTGAACATTCATGGTGTTCTTTCCAACTATGGATAGAAATATCATATAACCTGAAAGCAAAGAGGTATCTTAGGGGAAGGAGTGAACACGACAAATAATATTAGACAAAATAAAATGTATCACAATCAGAGTTTAGCTTTTACCATTAAGAACGTTTTTCTGCATAAAGCAACCATAGGAAAGTATGAAACTATCCTACTTAACAAGTTAGCCCCATGGAGCCATTAAAGTAATTCATTATATCTGTCTTGTTTCAGATGCAATAAATAAAAGGAACTGCTATTTACCGGGGTTTGTCTTCTCAAGCTGATACCATCGGTAAAATGCTCTTTTCTTCTGTTCACTCAGGTCTGATCCCTGCTGCAACAGCCAATGAGAGATCCGGCTCTGACTGATACCTGTGTAGAAAGAGAAACAGGGGGCACTGAAATTACAGCGAAATTAATAAAGGTTCTTTATGCTCTGTGTCCAGTCTATAAGGAAGTTGCAACCTGAGCAAACTATTATTGGATTCCTTTGTAAAGGCTGGCTGTATTGGCTAGGAAATACTCAGAAATTATCTCTTAGACGTCAAAGCAGTTTATTAATTAAGACCTGACAATGGCCTCTAAAATTAATCTCCAAAAAAGTTCCATGAATCTGAGATAAAGAGATTCCTAAAGTTATTTGTCAGAGTTTATTATATTTGTGCTCCTTCAACTACCATTGCTCTCCACTCTGCCCCTGATTTAGAATAATAAAAATTTTAACAGATATTGAGCAAAAAAGTCAAGTCAGCAAGTTTTGCTACTCATTATAGACACAGTCCAAAAGATTTAGGGGCTAGGAATCAAAAGGTCATTGAAAATACTGTCTTCAATAAGGTTGTTTTTGGCTTATTTGTTAATTTAGGCATTTTTAGAGTCCACAGAGAAGAATTAGCAGACTTTCAGAGATATGCTACAATATGACCTCTTAAGAAATCTCAAGAGCCAAAGACATTTTTCCAACACATGCTTTCCACAAAACCAAACAGAATATAAAACAGTAGTTTTCTGCTATCTCCTAGAAGCTCTTGACAGCAATTACTTAGAAACGTAAAGAATCTCTATATCTGAAAGTAAAAAAGCATGTCTAAAACTTACTAGTATAAGAATCACATGCTCATTTTGGTCATTCATAATCATTCCAAAAAATGAATAATTCAGTGCAAACTGGCAAAAGCAAGTAACAACAGGCAAGACAAAACTGTCTTTTAAGTCCACAAGGCCCTTTCCAAAAGACCATTCAGCTACCAGAGAAGGTTACCAATACCTAAAAGCTCCCAAAGAATTACTGATGGTAACCAAATATGACTGAATACCACCTGTGCCAACACCTGTTTAAAGCTATATTGCCCAGTGGGAAGAGTAGCTACCAGGAAGTAATCATACCTTCTAACATCAGAAAAAGCAGGAGGTCCAGGGATCATGTTTAACTCATTACAAGCAAGCCCCTAGAGTTTCACGCACTTAAAAACCTATGTCAAAAGAAAATTTCAGGAAACCGGCGAGGGAAGAGTTAAAACAAAGACTGTGAAGCAAATTCCTCTGACTGGAAACATCTTTTTTCTTCTTCTGAGACAGGGTCTCACTCTGTCACTCAGGCTGGAGTGCAGTGGCAGAATCATGGCTCAGCACACCCTCTCACCTCAAACTCCCAAAGTGCTAGGATTACAAGCATGAGCTACTGTGCCAGGCCCCACCAATTCCAGCTAATTTCTTTTCTTTTTTTTTTGTGGAGACAGGGTCTCACAATGTTGCCCAGGCTTCTCTCTACCTCCTGGGCTTAAGTGGTCCTCCTGCCTCTGCCTCCCAAAGTGCTGGGATTGCAGGCATGAGCCACCATGCCCAGCCTGGAAACATCTTTCAATTTCAAAAGGCAAAATTCAAACAGTTTTCTAAAACCTAAGTGATAATATTCTCAAATGATTCACATAGCAGTTTTCCAATGGACTAAAGACCTATGTGATGCAGGCATTGGCAGCTAGCACTGTATGCTTCTTCTAAGAAAATGCAAATTCTTCTGGATAATTAAATCAGCTTTCACCAAAAGTCTAGTTTCAGACATTACAGTATTTTTATACTACTTTTTTTTTTTAAAAACAGAATTTGACTCTGTTGCCCAGGGTGGACTGCCATGGGGTGATCTCGGTTCACTGCAACCTCTACCTCCTGGGTTCAAGTGATAAGTGATTCTTCCGCCTCAGCCTCCTGAGTAGTGGGGACTACAGGCATGTACCACCATGCTCAGCTAATTTTTGTAATTTTTAGTAGAGACAGGGTTTCAGCATGTTGGCCAGGCCGCCTCGACCTCCCAGAGTGCCGGGATTACAGGTACGAGCCACCACACCTGGCCTATATTGCTTTTTCAAAGAGTGATGAAAACAACCATCATAAAATCAGCATTGAATTTCATGTCAAGAAAATAAAACTACACGGATTCTTCATATTGGTATCATACTACTCAGAAAACAAGAAAAATCTGTTGAGAAAAAATATATTATCAGCTCTGTTAATTGGTTCCAATATGAAATCTTCCTCAGACAGTCAGATCATACATAGAACAAACCACAGAACCCACTAGACATCAGAGCTGTCCAGGTTCTGGCACCTGAGGTGAGAGAGGAAGATAAAATCTCATCAAATGGACTTTAGTTAAGTTACAGTATATTTATATAACAAAACACTTGTAGGCTTTAAAATTAATGTTTTTAAAAAGCTATTAAAAAAAAAAAAAAAAACCCAGAAAACTACAACAAAAAAGCAGAACCAACCAAACAAAAAGCCATCAGTACAAAAAAAAAAAAAAAAACCCAGAAAACTACAACAAAAAAGCAGAACCAACCAAACAAAAAGCCATCAGTACCAAGTGTTGGCAAGGCTATAGAGCATATAAAACTCTCATACTGCCAATGGAAGGATAAAATGGCAGAGCTACTTTGGGAAATAGTTGGACGATAACTGCTAGATCTGAACATATATACACTCTATAACCTAGCAAGTGCTCAACAGAATTATGTTCAAAAGAGATAAGAAGGCTCTTATAAACATTTCCGTAAGAGTCACCAATGTGAAACTACTACATGCCCATCAACAATAGAATACACTGACTGTGACATCTACACATTCTACTATATACTACTATACTCAAAAGGAAAAGGATAAACCATCGCTATATGAAATGACATGGATAAACATCACAATAATATACTGACTGAAAAACCTTATGACACAGACACACATAGACAAAAGCCACATAATTATATATGATTCATTTTATATAAAGTTATAAAACAGGCACAACTAATCTACAGGGATGGCAATCAGAATAGTAGTTACCCATGTAGAAGGGGAAGTTTTCTGCCTGGGAGTTAGAATGAGGTCTGGGAGGCCCCACTGGGGGTGCGGCTTTAAACGCTGGTGTGGTGACCAGCGTTGCTCTTTATCTTGATCTGGGTGATGGTTATATGGGTATCCTCACTTGACTTTTAAGTATCCATTAAGCTGGACAGTTTTCTGTGTATATATTTAAATTTTAAAAAGTCTCCCCCGAAACTTTTTTACAATTCTATTTGCTTTCAAAAAAATGAAGTAAATGGATATGTATCAATATGGAAAGATGCCCATGAAATAAATGAAAAGGTACATATTTTTATAAATATATAATTTTACATATTCTAAATTCTGTCTGTATAGTAACAAAAGCCAACATATACCTAAAGATACACAACATGAATTTAAAGCGGCAGATTCTTCCTACATTTCTACCTCTATATTGTTTTCTTAATCTTTCTATAAATACTAATTATTTTTGGCTTTTCACCCTAAAGACTACATACAGGACTTTATTGGTTATTTTACAACCAAATAGTTGCAAAGAATTTGTCTTCCCTCTCCAATTCTACTCTCTGAAGTAAGCAATGTTTGCTATTTTTATATATGTTGTTCCACAATCTTCTCTATGTGCAACTATTACTTTAATAAACAAAGGGAAAAGAAGGTAGTACAGAATATTCTCCTGTCTTGTCTTTTGTGTGAGGAAGAAATAAGAATTTCTTCCCTCTAATCTCAGTATTCATATAATAAATGAAAAAAAATAAGCAGGTAGTTTTTCCAAAGAGGCATTGTAAAAAAATGAAAGCATAAAAGGACACATTTTACAGTGATTTTCCTTAGCAGCCTGTTAATAGACAGGTAAGGCTCCTTGAACTCATCCTTTGGTCCTGCAGCTGAGCACAGCATCATAAACCCAGGCAGCCTCTTGTTACTGTCAGATTTGATACTTTTCCTCAGGACAAAATTTCCCTCACTTCCCCCCTGCTTCCCATTGCAGAAGAAAATGTCATTGCCCACAAGTTTTAGCTCCTCAAAACTTCATCTTGTCTAGCTTTGACAGGGTAAAGAAAAAATTTACATATAACCTTCATACACTGAGAGACTAAAACTAACCCCTGATTAATTTCTTTCCAATAAGAAAGTTATCACATGGTATTCAAAGGAAGAAAAAGCCTTTCCAGCCTCATTCACATTATTTTCTGAGCAGCTGCATCAGGCTACCTGTTCCTCAAACACCATGCTCCCTTCCACTAGAGGGCTCTCAACCATAATTCATTCTTGTCAGTATCTCCAATACCACAAATTCATGATTAATTTTCATTCCACTTCCTCCAGAGTGTGACGCTACTGACCACTCCCATCATCCTCCTCTTTGGAATGCTGGATACAATTCCAACACCACATCTTTTCCATTGGCTTCAGGGCTGCTTTGCTAGCTTCTTAACATGTTAGTGGCTTCTAACATGTCAGGATTCCTTTGGTCATCACAATTACCAATAACATTCATGTAAAATGTCATCTAAATGCCAATGACTTCCAGAGTACCGGACCATTCTTTCAAACCACATGCTAGATGGCATCCATGAGATTTTCCCCATAGGTCCTCAACATTGTCAAATTAATTCACTATCATCTTACTTAAATCTGTTCTCCTTCCTGTGTTCTCCACCTCAATTTTACTGCTCACTCTACTTTCCTCCCACACTCCTAACATATTGACTAAATGCAATCACTTTCTCTTCTTAAAATTCTTTTCGGGCCGGGCGCGGTGGCTCAAGCTTGTAATCCCAGCACTTTGGGAGGCTGAGGCGGGTGGATCACGAGGTCAAGAGATCGAGACCATCCTGGTCAACATGGTGAAACCCCGTCTCTACTAAAAATACAAAAAATTAGCTGGGCATGGTGGCACGTGCCTGTAATCCCAGCTACTCAGGAGGCTGAGGCAGGAGAATTGCCTGAACCCAGGAGACAGAGGTTGTGGTGAGCCGAGATTGCGCCATTGCACTCCAGCCTGGGTAACAAGAGCAAAACTCCGTCTCAAA